CGCTCCCTCGGCGCCGACCCTCGGACAGTGCGGCGCTCCCTCGGCGCTGACCCTTTGTCTCCTTGTTTCTTCCTACTGTAGGTGACTCCAGCCCTGGGCCTCGTTGCTGTGGTGTTGCTTGTGTTCGTGGTGCCAGAGCCACCGAGAGGGGCAGTGGAGCGACGGTCAGAACGAGCTCTCGTGAACACCTCCTGGCTCACCGACATCAAAGAACTCTCTAAAAAGTAAAAGGCATCTTCAGTCCCTTGGTTGCGGGGGTGGGGTGGTGGGAAACAACAGTGTGTGTCTGATGTGCTACACCAGCCTCACATTTTATCGTTTTTGTCCATCTCTGTGCGCGAGTGTGATCCTTCCAGATGACTGTGGTTTCAGTGTGAGCTCATTTCCTAACTGATGTCTCTCTGTCTCTGTCTCCGTCTCCACACAGTTACAGCTTTGTGCTTTCCTCGCTGGGCTTCACATCCGTTGCCTTTGTGACGGGTACCCTGGCTCTCTGGGCTCCTGCTTACCTTTTCCGTGCCCAGGTAGTGCAGGGCACCATGAGGCCCTGCACCAAGGGGACATGCAACTCCCTGGACAGGTAAGGCCCCTGTTATAACTGCTCCCTTTCGGGCAGCACGCTCCCCCCACCACCCCCCAATCATCACGACTCACCAGTTCCTCATTTCCCACCACACGCAGGGCTGTTACCAATGGTCCTTGATCCGTGTCCCCCTCCCACTCTTGGGGTCTCACTGATGCGATCCAACTCCTATTTAACTGACGGAGGGTTTTGTGCAGGAGGGGTGTCTAGCCCTGGCTGTTGGGGTGGGGCGACCGCAACCAGGCGACACCGTCTCGCGAGAAGAGATTGAACGTTTTGGACTGAGGTGAGCCATTTTGTTGCTCCCAGGGTGGGGAGCCCCTGCGAATTTATTGGCCCCAACTGAGGGTTTTGGGGGGGGGGGGGGGGGGGGGGGGGGGGGGCGTGTGGTTTGCGGCTGTGTACGTGTGGATCCATCTCCGAGTAAATTCGAGACAGCGATTGGGTGAAGGGGTGCATTCAGGAGGCTGAATGGCCTCTTCCCAGCTGGCCGAAGACCTCTCCCTCTTTCTCTGAAAGCAGGGGTTGACGGGGTGGCGTGCATCAGTGGGCCAAACGTGCACAGTCCCCTCACGCTGAGGCGTGCCGCATCGAATTAATCTCCTCTCATTTCTCTCTTCCCCCGGCAACCCCCCCACCCACCCGACCGGGCCCACGCTGCAGCTTGCTGTTTGGGATCATCACCTGCATCACAGGTTTCCTGGGCGTGGGAGCCGGGGTGGAGATCAGCAAGAGGTACCGCAAGGTGAACCCGCGAGCAGACCCGCTGGTGTGTGCCTGTGGTCTGCTTGGCTCTGCACCCTTCCTGTACCTGGCAGTGGCTACAGCTGAGGCCAGTACCATCGCCACCTACGTAAGTTGGGAATCTCTCGCAATGCCTCCTGGGTGCGGGTGGGGGAGCGCGGTGCGGGTGCGGCTGAGGGGTGGGCATGGGTAGCACACACGGTCCTTGGGGGGTGCTTAGCATGCTCTTTCTTTCTTGTCCCCTCTCCCTCGCCTGCACCTCCACTGTCCCATGCTCCCGCCACCTACTCCGCTCAAACCCCACCCCCCTTGCTCGCACACTCTCCCTTGCCCCTCACCCGCACTGTCCCTCGCCCCCGCTCCTGCTGTCCCTTGTCCCCCTGCTCCTTCTCTCCCTCGTACCCCCCCCCCCTGTCCCGTGCTCACCCTGCCCCTCGCTCCCCCCCCCCCCCCAGCTCCTGCTGTCCCGTGCCACGCCCGCGCCTGCTCTCGCTTGTCCCCCACTCCAGATTCCGTCACCCCCCCACCCCACCTGCCGATGTACCTTGCCCATGCTTCCTCGTGTGACACACTGGAGAATGGGCTGAAGGCCCTGTTCCAGGGAAGCTGCTATCCACCCTGTATGTGTGGCCTGACTGCTGCAGGGTCCCAGGGCAGTGCCAGCACAAGTGAAGGGGACTCTCACTGCCACAGTGCAGCCGGGCTGTGTCCCACTGTGCAGGGATTTGAGCCTGCACACACATTCATGTTCTGCTTTAATCACGGACATGTCTGCTTTTACTGTCTCTCCCTGCCCTATGTCTCTTTCTCACTCTTCCTCCCCGCTCTCTCTGTTTCCCCCCATTCCTTGTCTCTCTCTCTCTCTCTCTCTCTCTCTGTTTCCCCCCCCTCCTTGTCTCTCTCTCTCCCCCCCCCCCCGAAACACACTCCGCCTCCCTCTTCCCCATCTCTCTTTCTCCCCTCTGCCCCTCCTTACTCCACATTTCTCTCTTCCTCTCTCCATCCCCCCCCCCCCCCCCACCCAACCCCCGGCAACTCTCTCTCTCCCTCCTTCCCATCTCTCTCTCAGGTGTTCATCTTTATTGGGGAGCTGTTCCTGTCCATGAACTGGGCGATTGTAGCTGACATTCTGCTGGTGAGTACACAGACTCCAGTTTATCTTCATTACGGGACATTGGCTCCATCACCCTGCCAGCATTTATTACCCCTCAATAAGGCAGTGTACACATCCCCCCCCGGTGTGGATTAAACAGGGACGCAGGGCGGTATTCTGTCAGTGTGTACACATCCCCCCCGGAGTGGATTAAACAGGGACACAAGGCGGTATTCTGTCAGTGTGTACATGTCACCTGGTGTGGATTAAACAGCCACACAGGGCGGTATTCTGTCAG